GGGAAGGTCTTGACGGTGATGGCGACGACGACGGCGAAGGAGCTGGGGCCGCCGCCCTTGAGAGCCCAGAAGAGGTCGGAGTTTTCTTTCGCGTTGGCGGTTACGTATTTGCCTTCGGCGGTGATGGCGTCGAAGGAGAGGACGTTGTCGGCGCCCATACCGTAGATACCGGTTAGTGGGCCGTGGCCGCCTCCTTGGATGTAGCCGCCTCCCCAGCCGACGGTCGGGCACTCTCCTCCAACGATGACTACCTTGGGACTCTGGTTGAAGCACTGTCGGTATAGCTCGCGGCCCTGGACACCAGCGCCGACAATAGCTGCTGTGCCCTTCCAGTCCCCAGGTCCGGTGTACTTCTTCAGGAACTTGACGTCTCTGAAGCTGTGGGTGTTGATGATGAGCGAACCGTATCCGGTCGAACGGCCCCTGTACTTCTGTCAGTTCCGTCGTGCTTCAAGAGATAAGAGATTGTCTTACATGAAGTCGTGACCAGTGTTACGAATGATCAAACGAAGGTTGCGCTCTCGAGCAAAGTCCACACCCGCTTTGATCTGATCCCTCGTAGTCGCCATGATGACGTACTTTCCGTACATGCCTTGTGTGCAACTACCCGATGGGTCGTCCGTCGGCATGCAGGTGTTGTTAGTTTTGAACGGCCAGAGCTCAGCGATGGGGTGGTCAGTTCTAGCATTGCATTAGCTTCGTCATATGTATTCCCCGAGAAAGTTGCTCATACAGCCATTGCTCATTTGCCCAGTTAGCTTGAGTATCCGCACACTTCGCCGCATCGTAGACGCTAGTCCCGTTTCCGAAGTTGGTGTAGCAAACGGCGCCTGGAGGTATGGCGAGCTGTAGTGCGCCAGAGACGGTCTGGTTGAGCTTCGACCAGTCCTTGTTGGTCGGCCAGCAGGAGTTGTCGGAGTAGCATTTGCCTGGAGTTTAATAGTCAGCACACATCCCCATGAATTGAAGAGCGGATATCGCTTACACTGGTAGTCAACGCCATCCACCTTCTTGACCTCACCAATCCATTTGGCGCCCAAGACACCATGGGTCGCCAGCAGGAGAGGAGCGAATAGTGAGAAGCGACCCATATTGACGAAGGTAGGAGGGTATGCAGAGTCGATCGACTGTCCACAAGGTACCCATGGGCTTGCCGTCTATTTATCTCAGTCATGGCCACAAACGCTTCGCAGTTCCCTAGACAGCCTAGCGCACATTCTCGGAGAAGCTCTAGCCTCTGTCATTAGCAACACGGTACGCCCTGCAGCAAACACTCATGCTCTGAGATTGGCCTAATACTAGCAGAGCGCAAGAGGTAGTACTGCTAGTCTGCGTACCGTCTTCCAGACCCAGGGTACCTGGGAATTCGAGCCGCACTCAACAGCGGCAGTAGAGCCCCAAGAGGTAATTAATTCGCACTAGAACACATCGTCGGTACCGGGCCGCTGGGAAACACAAATGAGTTGGCGTCTTTGCGGCGATCCTATTCACCCGGATAATCTTGGGGCCCTGGTAGACTGCGCGCCAAGACAACGGTGCTTGTATGGCTCATTCTTTTCGCCACGTTCCAGATATCTCATGAACCTGCATCTTGTGATTGCCACGATGTTGATGTTGGCGAGGCTGGCAAAACTGCCGTAGCGAAACGCTGCACGCGGGCTCACGTCCGGTGTGCGGCTCGTGTATGTAGTATTGCGCCTCGTCTAGCCAAGCCGGTACGATCTAAACGCTCAACTAATATAGCTGCGCACCAAGAGATCTCGCGTGGCAATACTTGCATTATGCCCGGTAAGCATCGAATCTGCAATCGAATCAGAACTTATTGCGGCGGTCTTCAATTGAAGACGTGCAATCAACACGCGCTTACGCGGATATATACAGCAACGGCAGTCAGCGATGTTATCCAACGTAGATGCATCTGGAAACACGTTGATCTACAGTGGATCTATATCGCGCTTGTGGGGTCAAACAATGGGGTACCCTTTGACCATGGGTGCAGGTGAATGATTCGGTGCGGTTGAGATGCCTCGTCTGTACGGGAATTAACCTTTCGGTGGCATGAGCGATGAGCATGGCGACTTCATGCCGTAATTTTAGCCTCGGGATAGCAGCTCCCTTCTGTGTAGTCTCCGCATCCGTCTGTCCCCGCGGTTCGCAGCTCCACTTTGTCTTGGGGCAAGGGTCCAGCGGCTCGCTTCCGGAGAACCGCTATTGGCTTCTGCTGCTGAGCCGTCAATCAGTCTTTTCACGCACTTGGATGCAGCTCTGGAAATACCATGATATCGGCAATTGTCTCGGTCGTATTGATGTTCTAGCAAAGGCGATGAGACGACAGCCCTCTGGATGATCGTCGTGATCGTCGATAGTAGCGCCGGTTCCATGAGTCCGCAGGTCCGGGAGACTGGACATGACACGCATCCGAGCCGTGTTTTCGTTCAGGGCATTCCACGCTAGCAAATCTGACTTGGCTCAATTCCATGTGATGGTCAACGCTGGAGCCCCTGTGCATCTTCTATAGCTGCATCCGCCGAGGTAGATGCTCAACTCCACGTATGGGACTGGGGGCCTGAGAGGCGAAAATCTGGTTCCGGAACCAGGCTCATTCGCTTCCCGGCCCAAGCCAAAACCATCGCATGCTATACAACCTCTTAGGCCAGGCGATCTGCTACCAGAGTGTCGGTATCGTAGTCAAATATATACAGCTCTGGAAAGTCCGCTCGAATTCGACTTTGAGTGAGTCTTGTCGCTTCGATCTGGGAGGTCCCATCGTCGATCTCTAAACCTTCTTTGAGAAACTCTGTTGCGCTGAATTCTCCACAATTTTGTATGAGAACTCTGGACTTGCGTTCCTTCTGTCCGGCTCAGGATATGCCTCCCCATAATGAAGGGTCACCGAATTTGGCGCGATTATGAGCATCTTGAGGGAGGGACATCGTGTATGTGTCCATTAAAAAAACCGTGTCGCGAGTCGGTGATTCATGTCGCGAGCATCCACTTCAGGCAGAGAGGAGGAAAATAGGGACTTTGGTGTTGCGGCCTTGATAAAGATGCAGCATATTCAGCTTCTTAAGCTTTTCGATCGGTTCCTAGAAAGCGCGCTGTGTTATTGAGTCTGAAGACACATTTTGGAGTTCACGCATGTGGTGACAAAAGTGCCGAAGATCTGGTTCCGTGTCACCAGCGCTTTACCGTCTTCGTTCACGGAGTTGTTTAACTTGTCGTTATTCCGTAGTCCGAAGTAAACAAGATTCCGCAGTTTGGGTGAGCTGGACAGGTATTGTAGTGGTTGATATTTGCACACGGACAGAGACAGCGTAGTTACCGGAGGCAAAATTGTTAGCTGAGCCAGACCCTGGTTCATGTCGTGTGTCCTCTAGTAGATTCAAACTCCGCGTGTTAACCAAGTGCTTTCGCGCGCCGATGTCAAGGCATCGCCGGAATTCAGTGGCATTGCCCGGGAAGAGCCAGTTCGGCAGCCGCTCATCGCGAGCATATGCACTGATCTGTAGCACGATACCTCGGTACAGGTACTCCGTAGCGATGTTGTTCCAGTCCTTCGAAGCTAAGCAAAGCGCTTTCAAATCCGAGTAGAGCGAAAGCTGGGAAATGCGATCAGCTAATAACTAACGTCTGTCCGGCGCTGTGCCGTTCAACGCAGAAGTCGCATATATTCCAGTATCATGCGCTTGGAATCGTCGACAAGCTCGGCTTTAGGCGGATATTGAGTGCGTGAATATCCATGCTGCGATGAGTGGTGATGGAGGATTGGTTGTGCAATGGGAGTGCGAAGTGGTCGGATGAGGGGCAAAGTTGTCTCACGTGACGTCGTGCTGGGGACCCCTGGCGGCTTCCTGAAGCAGCGGGGCAACGCGAATAACGTGGAACAGCGCGTCGCGTCCACATCGCGACTTCCCGCAAAATCTCTCTCCTACAGACTATCTCAACGCGTCATGGAGTCTCTTTCGAACGAGGTCCAGCTACTCATACTCTGATACATTGATACGAAACGCGACCTTATATCTCTTTGTCTGACGTCGAAACACCTGCGCAACCTCAGTTTACCGCGACTGTACCATACTGTCTACTTACACACTCGGGAGGAAGGCCTGACAAGATTCTTCAAATGCATTGCTGCAGGGGCCAGTTACCACCTGCGTCACATCAGGAGCTTATCTTTCGAAGATGAGTTATGTGATCCAGGGGATGATGCACCACCGCCGAACCATCTGCACCTGGTTAGTGCGGCTGATGCAAGAGACGTGCTGATGCATCTTTTGATTTCCATGCTTCCAAAGAATCAGCTTCATGCCTTCAGGTTAGTTCATCTCACCATAAGTTACTATAGAGACTGATCACTAGGCAAACTTAGATTCATTGCCAGCCGAAGTCTCCGAAAAGACATTTTTCATCTGCTCAAGAGTAGTCAACGAGAATTGCAACATCTGCAGCTCCGTTGCCTCGAGCCGGTGAGGGTAGATCTCACAAGCTTTCAGGCCGGCGGTGAGGGACACGACCACAATGTACACGGAACCGCCGACTCGCGAGACGAACTTTTGACATTGCCTCACTTGAAGTTATACTTCGTCAATGCTGACCAAATGTGGTGCTGTTTGGCAGCCACCATCGATTTCAGCAACGTCAAAACTCTTGCGTTGTACGAATGTGAGAACGCCAAATTTTACGACAAGTGGTTGTCTAGCCTCAATGGCAGAACCCCTGCTTTGGAGCGTGTGTATGCTACCATTGATAACTGGGATTCCCTCTCAGATTTTCTTCAATGCTGCGAAAACCTTACTAGTCTGCATCTCGTCAGTCGCTACGATCATGAACTAGACAAATTCTGGCGCATGATCGAGCGCAGGGGCCCTGGATTAAAGAGTCTCGGCGTCCAGCATCGATACACTTGGTTTCCTTTCGGCTATTGGAGCGATCATTTATCGCGCCTACTTTCGATATGCCAGAACGTGGAACATCTTCGCTTACCAATCTCTAAGGATATCATGGAAGCTTCCATATGGGAACGGGAAGAAGACGAAGACGAAGACGAAGGGGAAGAAGACGGAGACGGAGAAAACGAAGAGGAAGTAGACGAAGGGGAGGAAGACGAAGACGAAGGGGAAGAAGACAGACACGAGGAGTATACAGAGTTTCTGGCAAGCTGGGTTCTTTCACGCACTGGAGCAACATGACTGACGATCATAGGACTGTTTCGAGCAGATGACGCAGTTGCGCTCAATTCTGTTCACATACGATCCTGACATCTTCAATCGCGACACATACATGGAAGAGCCAGATCTCCAACCAGAGGTATTTGCCAGCAATTTCTTCCAATACCTCGATGCGCGTGGTTGGTGTCCTAGCTTAGACGTTCTGGTCACTGGCGTCCCGGTAGATCTCGAGGATATAGAAGATGTTGAACCTGGCTATGCACACGCACTAGAGTTCAAGACTCCACATCCATGGCACTGCTTTGTCAAGGGCAAGTATGAATGTGTACCGGCACATGTACTGCGATCTTATCAGCCTGGGTACAACATGCCAGACATCATTCCACGAGCGGATTGGATGGATTCCACTTCTGGAGAGTCCTGGGGGTTCTTGGCTGATCGCGAATCTAACATTTCAATTGGATAGTATAATGTCACCTGGGGTATACGCCTATGCCATTCACAATACAAAACCTCATCTACTGCGCATTCGGCCTGAACACGCTCATACCGTTCTTCTTGCCCCAAGCCCAGACCTTGCCATTCAGATCCGGCACCATGACCAACCAGATGATTGTCGCAATCCACGCTCCGATAGTATCGACAACCACGTTGTTCCTCTGACTACCCGACATGGAGCCATAACGCATCAGATGCACCAGCCAGTTTGTAGGAGTCATGAAATCGCCACCCTCCAGTCCCTTGACCGCCGCTGTCGCAGCTTCCAGCTCAGTCTGCTTGGGATCGGACGACTCCAGCTCAAAGCTCACGGGGTGCTTCGTCTTGTTCTCGTTCTCGAAACCGGGGGATAGTATGCTGCCTGGGAAGACAACGTGGATATCGACGTCGAAAGGTGCGGGTACAACACCGGTGCTACTCGTCTTGGAGCGCCGCGCCGCGTTGTAAAGCTGGACTTCGGAGCGGAGGCCGTCGGCGAGGGATCGGATCGCGGCTTTGGCGGGGGAGTAGGCGGAGTAGCCTGCGAGGTTCATGAAGGCGAGCGCGGATGAGGTCATGATGAATTTGCGAGGCAATTCCGGAGCAGAACTCTTTTCTTGCGGCTTGTATGGTACTTCGGGGTAAAACCATGCCTGCAGTGTCTTGTGTGCCATGTATGCTGACGCGAAGTAGTTCAGCTCCATCTGTTTCCTCAACGTCTCAGTGCTCGTCTCGATGAAGAGGCCCGGTACTGAAGATCCCGCGACACACCACACGATCTCCGGTACACGTCCATTGTTCCATGCTGTAGCTTCCTTCAGAATACGCGTGTTCTCGGACTCGGATGTCACGTCGGCGGCGATGTAGGTGAAGCGTTGGGTCGAGGGGTTCTTGGCATGGGCTTTCGCGTGGGCTAGGGCAGTTTCGAGGTTCTTTGCGGTGCGTGCGACGAGGATGAGGTTTGCGCCCCGGGCGGAGAGGAGACGGGCGATTTCGCAGCCCATTCCCTGGGAGGAGCCTGTGAGCAGGACCGTCTATATGCACCGTTAGTAAGGTTCATGTTAGAGGATTCAATACAATACTCACTCTTCCCTCCACTGGGAATTGGTTGCCCTTCCAGAAAGCGAAACCCATGATGTCCGCACTAATAATTCCCACAAGCACCAAGAGGATGATGGTCGCTCCGAGAAGCAATTGTGACATGGAGGGAGCCAATTGTACACCCGAAGAAGGGTGGGACTGGAACGCCTGATATCTGACTCTGCTTACGCGGACGAAGTGACCGCAATGCTCAATTGGTGTACGGTGCAATAGCGCGTCAGTATCGCACGAGTTCACATGCGGCGTGCTTACATACACACGCCCTGCAGTTCTTAGCTCCACCTCACTAGCGGAGTGGAGACTTTCCGACCTCCGCGGTAAAGCCAAGACTTCTTACCGAAAAAAAGTTCCCGCGCGACATTTGCGACCATCACTTACGCCACGCCACAACACATATCGCAATCATGGCCAAAAAGAGAAAGGCTGGTAGCGGAGGGTCGCGCGCGCCGAAAGCGCTAAAAGAGGAGGATTCCAGAATGGCGGTCAACTCGTATGAGGATGTCGCTGATTCGGAGGACGAGTTCCATATCAATCGCGACAAGGTACTGCTGGACGAAGGACCGGCGGCTAAGAGACTGAGGAAGTATCAGGAAGAGGGTTAGTTAAGCGGGGTTATGTGTATGGAATGCGATAGCTGATTTGGATCTAGACAAATTCTTAGAAGCCTCAGACGAAGAAATCCTCGATGCCGGCAGCGATGACGACGATGAAGACGATTTCGACGACCAAGATACCGGCGACGAGTCTGGAGATGATGTCACGGGACAGCGCAAACCAGTCGACGAGGAAGACGAAGACGTTGGTGGATGGGGTACCTCGAAGAAGGATTACTACAACGCCGATGCAATAGAAACGGAGCAAGATGCGTTGGACGAGGAAGCTGAAGCGAGGCGCATACAAAAGAAGCAGCTACAAAGCATGACAGAGGCGGACTTTGGCTTCGACGAGGACGAGTGGATGGCGCAGGAGGGAGAGAAAGATGCAGAAGGTGGCGCGGTCGTAACAGAAGTGCTCCCGCAACTTCAAATCACGGACAACATGACCGAGGAAGAGAGGATGAAGATCATGCGCACGCGATACCCCGAGTTCGAGCACATTTCGAAAGAATACCTGAGGCTGCAACCGCTGCACGAGGAATTGGCCGCCGCCGCGAAGGCCGCAGAGAAGGTATTGAAGGCACAAATGGCGAAGTCGGAGAAGGCAGACAGAATTCCACCAACACCAAAGGCTGTCACAAAATATCGGGCATGCGCCGCATATCTCGCAGCGATGGCTATGTACTTTGCTGTACTCGGCTCCACTGCAACGGACGATGGGTCGCCGGTCATCGCAATGGATCCTGCTGAGCTACACGAACACCCAGTTATGGAGACCTTGCTGAAGTGCCAGAAGGTATGGACGCGGATAGAAAACCTACCTATCGCAGATCCCATGGTAGAGACCGGTGACGACGACGACTCAGCTATGGAGGACGTGAGCGTCGAGGAACTCGAAAACGACCTGACCGTCAAGAAACCCACAAAGCAGAAGAAGACCAGGGCGGAACGAGCAGCCGAACTAGCACAAGCAGAAGCAGCAGCGCGACGCGCCGCGAAGCTCGCCAAGACGGAACAAGACCTCGCATCACTCGACACCCTCGCCGACAAGGCCGCCCTCAAGAAGGCATCCCGCAAGAAGAAAACCGCAGAACCCAAGCTCAACCTCCTCAACGCAGACGACTCGGACTTCGGCGAAGAAACCGAGCTCACCGCCCACGAAGCCGCCGAGAAGGCAAAGAAGAAGAAATCTCTCCGTTTCTACACCTCGCAAATCGCTCAAAAGGCGAACAAGCGCGACGCCGCGGGCAAAGACATGGGTGGCGACGCCGACATCCCGCACCGCGAGCGACTCAAGGACAGACAAGCGCGTCTGCAGGCCGAAGCCGAGAAGCGAGGGCAACACAAGGATGCTGGCCCTGGTGTTGCTCTGGGCGAAGACGATGGCGCTTCGTCTGCTGATGAAGCGCCAGCGACTAAGCGTGACGACTTTGAAGATGAGGATGGTTACTACGATATGATCGCCGCGCGCTCGGAGGACAAGAAGCAGACTAAACTTGAACGCGCAGAAGCCTACGCCCTCGCCAAGAAGCAAGGCGCGCAGGTTATTGAAGAGGAAGTCGTTGGCGATGATGGTCGTCGTATGATTTCTTACCAGATTCAGAAGAATAAGGGGTATGTTTTCCTCCCTCTCCCACTTTCCCCACTCCCCTCTCCTTTTCTACCTGGTTCGAGCGAATGCTAACATCCCGCTTAGATTGACGCCCCACCGCAAAAAGAGCGTGCGGAACCCGCGTGTCAAGAAGAAGGAGAAGTACAAGGAGAAGCAGAAGAAGCTCAAGAGTATGAAGCAGGTGTTCGATAAGGGGGCTGCGGCCAAGGGCAGTGCTAACTATGGGGGTGAACTTACGGGTATTAAGTCTGGGCTTGTTAGGAGTAGGAAGTTGTAGGGGGATTGTGTTGAATGGATACCATGGTTATGCTCTGCAGAAATTTGAGAGTGGTCTTGGTGTATTGGAAGTGACTTGATCGGGCACGTGTGCAACTTCGCTTCTGGTTTTCAGGCCGCAGACATCATTCCGACTACTGTAGGCACGAGGTTCAGTACTGAGCGCTAGCGTTGTACATTGGTCGATTTCCTAAACGCGATGCTCTGAGTCTGATGCTGTACGATGATAAATCTCCCCTTGTGGGCTTCACGCTCGAACTTGAAGTCTTTTCGCTCGGGACTGTAGGTGTGTACGTTGGTGGGTTGGTAAGTAGATAACGGTGGTCATATATCCATCCCTTCTAAGGTGTGTACGTGTATAAAATCCCTCGCTGCCATACCCCCCATCTACATATAAGATACGGTCCTCCTTTGACAAATTTTCCATCCGCAGGTAATGAGTGTCCTGACGCTTCTTCTTGATAACAGCTGGTCAATGATGGTTGTGTCACCATGCCTGATTCTTTGCCTAGCACGTCGTTGTACTCTGCTCTCCTGCGTGGCCTCCTTGTACGATGCAGCCCACGCGAAGAATCCCAAAGCTCTTAATGAATCATGAACAAAGTATCGGGACCCATCCGAGCGGCGTCTCTCTGATGTTGTTCCATGAGATGAGGGATGAATGCAGCGCCCATATACTGAACGTGGTCGCATGCTTGTCCAGTCGAGTCGATGTCGCCCTTCGTTGGATTCAACTGCCGAAGTATATAGAGTGCTTCCCCTCCATAGAAGGCGGCGACTTGATCTCCTGGTTTGCATCCCGGGTGGGCGAATCCAATACGACCACCCTTTGTGCTGAAGAAAGTATGTCCGCGCATATCTACCCACTGTTGACGGCAGTGCGCCTGCTCCCAACTAACAGCTCCCCTGTAGGGAGAGTGCCAAGCCACCAGCTTGGGTAACACCTCGCTATACACGCTCCTCGCTTTCTCGGTAATCTGATGATCTAAGAAAAGCGCTATGATGAAATCCTCCGGTATATCGGTAACGCCTCCGCTCTTCCCATGATAGACACGGCGAGCTAGATCTAAGCTATCCATATGGCGACCAACAGCAATATCATATAAAGTCATGTGCTCTTCAGAACAGCTATCGTAAAACCCCGTTCGGATGTCAAGGACTTCCTCATGCTCCACAACCTCTTCAATAGTTTCCAATACAAACCCCCGCATTCGAAGCAGGTTGTCGTATTTTACGGTACTCATAAACCGTTTATCCTGATCATCGATCGCCTTGACTCTTTCTGCGCTGTCTACTTCGCTGTTTTCTTCAAACAATGCCCAACGAATGGCCCAAGATCGATTGTCTATCGCATAATTCCACTGTCCATTAATCATCATATGACATGCCGATGCTCCGGAAAGA